GGGACCTCAGGTATATGATACGGTGAAGAGTCATAAAGAACCTCCTTGGGTTGTACTTTCAAATACTAGCCCCTCCCTCATTGTAATGTGGTATTCCGTTCTCCCAACCCGGGAAACCTGGATATGGCCTTTGTAACACCACCGTTACTCAGCACAGCACAGCATAGCATAGCAAGTCTCTCACTTCAGCCTTGTGCTTGCACAGTCCACGTCTGACTCACCTCAGCCTCCAGGCTCAACCCTTCCAGTCCTTTCCACGGACCTGACAACCCATTCTCCTCTGGTATACCTTAGTACCTATTAGTTCCCTGCTTATAAAGTCTCTCAATAGCTCCCCATTGCCCACAGATTAAAGTCCAAACTCTCTAACTTGGTGTGAAGGGCTCTCCCTTTTTCCTCATGCTTTGGGTCCGCCATCCTCTTCCCCAGCCACCTTCCATTCCCTGTCTGGAAGTGTCTGCAGTTGGTTCTGAGCCCTTCCCATGCATTCTCACCCCTACTACCTCCTTTGGAATGTTGTCTGAATTATGCTCAGATTCCGGCTTGAACCCTCCCAGAGGCCAGGGACTCCTCTCCTCAGCTCACAAACCCTGGTCTGTTTCCTCCCTTGCAGTCTTGGCCTGCCTCTGTCTACCCTGCTCTTCAAAGACACTGTAAATTCCTTGTGGGCACAGCTTGTACGTCGTGGGCCTTTGACGCTTTCGCTTTGAACAAAGTGTCTGGAGCCTGTGCCTGCCACTAGTTTGCAGGTTTTAGAGTCTCCCGTGACCTTCAGCCACAGACCTAGGGAAATCCTAACAACACAGGCACATTCCACACACAGGTCACCTCCGCACTGGAGAAACACCTAGCTGAGAGGATGCGAGCACAGAGATGCAGAGAGAGGGGAGAAGAGAGTGGATGTGGCTGGGCCCTTTTGTTCTGGGGGAAGCATGGGAACTCCTGTCCCCAAAGATCAAGGAATACCAGGCTAAGTACGCCAGCCCCAGAGTGGCTTGAGTCACTGTCACTTGGTCAACTCCAGTTTTAAGGATATCGTGAGTGGCCAGAGCACCCAGTTGCAGGTCAGCAGGCAAGGTGACAGGTATACACATGACAAGCACCATACATTTAAGTGGAGTAACTGTCACAAACTAATACAGAAACTTCCATTCTCCAGGGCAGGACAGAGGGAAGAAGGTATGTGTGTACATGAGCACCTGGACAGCTTTGGGAAAGTGGCGGCAGAGACCCTCTCCTCTCCTGCTCACCCAGATGGCAGCAGGGTGCCAGGCTGACCAGAACACGTACAGATTATATATATATATATATATATATATATATATATATATATATATATATATATATATATATATATATATATATATATATATATATATATATATATATATATGGTTTGCAGGGGCTATAATTAACCATTTCAGCCATTTAGGGTGCAGGTGGCAGCCCACCTCTCACTGGATTCTCAGGGCCAAGAGTGGTCCCTCTTGTGGACAAGAGTTTTCTGGGTGGGAAAAAGTGGGATGTTATTTGAAAGATGGGCCCTTTGCATGTCAGTAGGAAGATGAGCAAAGGCTATGCCCAGATATGCCCAGGCTGTGGTGCCAGTCAGCCCTCGTCCTGAAGCTGGAGAAGAGTACTAGCTCCCAATGGGAGCAGAGAATGTCTTTCCTTCCTTTTCCACCCATTGGCCTTTTCCTGCCTACCTACTCTCTTCCCAGCAGAACTGCTGTGGGGACCCTGTCAGGCCCCAGTCACCTTAATTTCCATCAATGGGAGGAGTTGGATGGGGAGGAGGAGAAAGGACTTGAGTCTGTGCCCTCTGTGAGATTTTGTTGGGCGCAAGAATCCCCTGCAGGACAGAGCACCCCTACTCCCAAAGGCCCTGAAGTGGAGAGAGGGACTCTCGGATTTGGAACACTCCTGCATTTCCCTTGGAGAATAAAAAGGCTGCCCGGAGGGCAGGGCCCAATAAAGCATATCACCTATCTCATACAGCAGTGTTGTTTATACTGTAAGGCACGAACCATTAGTGGGTTGTGAAATCAATTTAGTGGTTTACAGCCAGCATTAGGAAACGAAGATAAAGACTTTGGTATTAGAAAGAGTATTAGAATGCCCCTCCCGCCCAAGGCCAGTTGCCTATCTGTGTGCACACTTACGCACACACCTGTGTTGTATCCAAGGCCCTGCATGGGTAGCAATTTCACCTTTACATGTTTTTACTTAAAAAAAATCAAAAAGAACTTGAGGTGACTTCTCTTTCAGAAGCCCACACCCGTGCTCTGGGCATGCCTTTCTTCTTGAGCATCCCTCTTTCTTTTGTGCTTAGAATCTATATTAATATTTCTTTTCATAAACTCTTGACTCAGCTTTTAAAAAAATGAAAAAAAAAAAATCTGGACGGAATAAGATCCTGTCCTCTGAGCTCGGCTGGCTTGAGAGGAGCAAGCCCTGAGGGTGAAGTCAGAAGTGAGTTCCATGGTCTGTTTTAGTCTCACCAAATAGATCCTTACTGGAATCAGGTGACCACCTTCAATGGGTCTTTGGACAAGACTCATTCAGGATGCCACCTCAGAGAACTCTGTCTACATCTGTGGCTCTTCTTTGCTCTCTCTCTCTCTCTCTGATAGCTTTGGAGACATACAGACTGGAAAAAGGGAGCCCAGTGGAACCAGAGAATGCTGAAGCAGAACAGGAAAACAGAAAAATTTTAGCAGATGCCCGTGGCCTTCCGGGCCATACTGATGTTGGTCTTGGGATTGGGGCAGAGGACTGGGGAGGTAACAGCCCCTTTGCAAGCAAGGAATCCAGGAGCACCTGGAGGAGTGAGAGATGCCAAGGTTTGGGACCCTCCCAGCAAAATAAAGCCAAAGTGTCCAAGAAAAAGGCTACTACAACCAACCCAAGGGGCTGGGAAAGGGGGTGGACTCTCCAGGGTTCTGTGATCAAGGCAGTCGCTTCTGCTAGCTATGAGCTGCATCTGAGAGAGAAACACAGGACAAGAGCATGTCATTTAGTGCAGGGATGTGCTGCAAATCCCGAGGTTAGTGTGAAGCAGCTGAGTGAGAAGGAAGACACTTGTGGTGCGTATACACATGAAGCTGTGTGGTGGTAGCATTTGCCTGGGATGGCTCACTTGGGCATTTTTGAGTCAAGGAGGTAGAGAGGTAACAAGGAGAGGTGACGTGCTTTACTAAAGTTACCGAGTATCTTAAACACTATTTTGAATATTGCCACATGCTTACTTGAGCAAAGATACAGGATTATGTCTCTGGTGGACACAGAGGGCCATTGCCTCTGGGTTTAGGCAGCCGTTGATTAAAACTGAATTTGGGACTCTTAAGTAGGAGCTCCAACTATTGCAACGCATGTTGGAGTTCCCCGTTCTTTGCTTCTTTCAAAACCCCCTTTCTCCAACCCCTCTTCCCCTTGTGCCCGCAAGACCGTCCACTCCCTGTTCCAGGACTACAGTCTCCCTGGCATTCAATACACAAAGAGGGCAGAAAAATGAACCAGACAAAGAGAGGGCACATATCTTTGATTTTGCCCCTATAGCTAAGTTGGCAGTCTTGGCTACTTCCCAGCTTTGACCTTTAATTCACTCCTATTTGAGAAATAAGAAGTGATTCCAAGCAAGGGATTCATTACTGAACTCATGCAGGAGAAGGGACTGTCTGGCATTGTCTGTTCCCCATGTCTCTTTTCACAAGTATCTGTGGAGCACCTGTCTCTACCGGTCAGCGTTGTACTCACGTTGGGGACTATAAGATGGATGGGGACTTGAGCTTCTGGCCTCCAGCAAGCATGTTCTGTGTTGTCAGGAAAAGACACCACAGAATGGAATAGAAAATTATAATTCCCAGGATGAGAAGCCACAGAACCACCTGCAACAGGATGTTGCTTCTGTCATTGCTTTAAAATGGGGTGAACTTTGCAGCTTAAACTTCTGGGTGCATGGGGAGAGATTCAGAGGCCTTTGGAGGAAGTGTTCCTCTAGATGCTTCTGTGTTCACTGTGGCCTTTAGTTGACTACACTACTCCACATGAACTTTTTTTTTTTTTTTTTTTTTTTTTTTTTTTTTGAGAGGGCAGGAATTACTGAGCTGGAGATTAAATAAAGCAACTGACTCAGAATCCATGTCATCAACACAGTTGCTTTTTATAAAAACATCTTCCTTTACAAAGGTCTGAGACCTCCTATCTGTTGTCACTCTGGTCCTGAAAGACAACCTGTCCCCCGCTGAATCCCAGTCAATGGTTTGACATCCTTAAAATCTGGGATGAGGTGCCTCAAGCTCACAGGAGGGCCACAGAAGAAGAAGGAAATTTTCAAATGGGCCTCAGTGACATCTGTTAGAGCCTGTGTTACCCAGTCATGTGGACCTATTGAGGGAACTGGCAGCTGTTTTCATTAGCCTGGGGGCATTGCAAGCCTCCAGGGACACTATAGCTTGAATTAAGACTGTCCCACAAACTCTTGCATCTAGTATACCATCAGCATGTACACAGTGGGATGGACATATGGCCATGTATGTCCAGTCCTATTCAGTCTTGTTCTTGTCCAGCTTCTTTGAATCCACCATTACTAATTTTTCTCTGATTAAAGCTCACAAAGGCTCGGCATGAACTTCACCTTGATTTACAGTATTTACTTAGAATTCAGCTTCAGAGATAGCTATTATCCCTGCCTGTTGGGTTATAAAAAAGCTGGTTTGTACAATGGATGACAAACCAGATTTGCCTCTGAGTCCATGAGAGAACAGTGGACTCTCCTCTTGCTGATTTTTGACCTTTTCTTCCTTGCAGGCCCCCTGGGGCCAGGTGAATGCCTGCCCATGTCTTCCCTCCAACATTTCGGCTCTAATGTACACCTGAACCTTGCCTTGACTGTGGCTTCTGTTCTCTTGGATCTGTGCCGTGTGACAGTTATTTTCAACTGCCATTGGAATCTTCTCAAAATTCTCAGCGGTTGGCATCCTGGTTCTATAGCCAGGTAGAATCTCAGATCCCAAGGGTTGTGGTCCAGATGATTGAGTGGGGCCCCCAGCAGTTGGGTCATGGGAGATGCTCAATCCGCTGAATGCTAATTCCCATTACAGGCTTCAGAGTAGTCAGTCTCAGCTCCACGTGAGGCCCTGTGGTCACTGCCTTATCAAAAGTCTAGCTGAAGAAAAAGTTGATATGGGAACCCTCGTGTGCCAGGCAGTGGAGGTCTGAGGCTTCGGGACTTTGGCCTTGACACAGCCCTGGCCCCGCCCCATCTCTTGCTCACTCTTTGCCATGGCTCACATACTTCCAAGCAGACAGCTGAATGCCTGCTACCTGCAGAGAAGGGTCAGGGCTCTCTGGGGAGTTCAGTGCTGGATTTAATAAACGTGCTCCCCTTTGCCCAGCCACGAGGTAAAGAGACGAATGTCCCAGGGGCTGAGGTGCCCCCATCCTCCACCTCTGGGGAGCTGGCCACTGGCAGATCTTGGCTATGCCTTGCAGGGCTGCTGGCTTTTTCTGTCTTAGTGCTTTACTCCTGTGTGCTGGGGTGGGGGAGTGTCGTCATAGGGAGGGCTGGAGAAGAGGCTGCCATGACCTTTGACACCACTGGGGGAGCCTTGGCAAGGCCACCTACCCTATATCAAGACCTGCAGAGGGCATCTTAGAGACTGTGGCCCTTCTTTTTTTAAAAGCACACATAAAAATACAGTGGCTTCGTAAGGCCTCATTTGGAGATTGAATTTTCGAAAAAGCCTTTGGCTCAAGGCACTCTGGGAATGAGGTTCAGGACACAGGGCTCACCTGTGCTAGTCACTACGCTCACATGTCAGGTCCAGGCAAGTTTGGAGGGGGGTCTCCTGCCAGAGTCTCCCCGCCCCTCTCTCCTGGTAGATCGAGGCCTTACAGACTATTTTGTGACTTTGGGGACTAGGTCTCTTTGCTGGCTTGGGCTGACCTGCAGGCAAAGGGACACACAGGAGCAGCTGCCTCCCAAGGGAGGGACTGTCATCTTCTGCTCAGTTATAATCCGAGCTGAGAGACTTCTACAGAAGCTTTCCACTCAGGCCTGCAATGTATTCAGACCTAAAGAAGAGCTCCATCGGCAGAGTTGGCTTTGTGAAGGCTTCCTATTCTGGTGACTATGGCTACAGGTTCATGGCACAAAAATACCTGCACAGGCCAAGCCTCATTCTAAGAGTGGAGGCTACCATGCCCACTCAGAACGGCTGTCTTCCCAACCCCAGCCAGAGAGTTGATTTGGAAGAAAAACCCAGGTGCAGTTTGTCCCGTGAATATAACAGAATGACCAGTCTACCCTGAAGGTGACAGAATGACAGAAGGTCATCAGTGCAGGACCTGTGTTCATCCCAAGCCGGATCCCAGAGAAGAGAGGACACAGCCAGACCAGGACTGGGGCTGGGGACCTGGCTTGGGCTTAGGCACAGAGATGTGAGTTAGCAGAGATTGCAGATCTGGGAAACAGGGGAGGGGATGTCTGCAGAGGAAACTAGGCGGGGAGGGAATGGGGTTAGGTCACCCTGGATTTTATCCCGTAGACTCTGGTGAGCAGCAGGGCAAATGGAAGGGTTAGGTGGGCACGTGGGGTGCCATTCATTGGCCCTGGTCTGCAGGGGACAGATCTAAGTGAGGTCAGGATTGGGGGACAAAGGAGAAGGAAGGTTTTGACAGTGGAGTAAGCAAGAAGAGAAGTTTCCAGGAGAGATTGTATGATGTGGAGGGAGGAGGGGAGGTCCAGGTGCCAGCATTTGGAACTGAGCTGGCAGGTGGGGACCAGAACTGACACATCTCTCTTGTGACCTCAAGAGTGATGGACATGGCGGCTTTGTTCTCCTTAGGCCAGGCTGGGTTTTGGTGGACCTCTATACCCAGAGGCTTTCCCTAACAAGAGGGCAAGGGCAAGGGCAGATTCCTGGGGACACATGTATGGGGTGGGGGCAGCTGAGGTGCAAGACCAGAAGCAGAGGGAAGGGGGAGGTAGGTAGCTTGGTGGGGAGCCCAGGGGAGCATGAGTCCTGCGTAAGAGAACTGACCTCCGTAGGCCTCAGAAGGGCCAGTACCCACTCTCTCCTGCCAACGTGTGAACATGCTCCTTGTCCCCCAACAAGCCTAACAGCACGCCTCTCTCACACAGCTGTTGCTAAATTAACATCTGAATACAGATATAGCAGAGTGGGAGGTTAGAGGAGACCTGAGAGCCATGGTGGATTTGGTAGTGGGATGGGATGCTGGGCCACCCGTCAGACCAGTTTTGGGAAGAGAATGGGAGTTTAGAGAGGGAGGAGGCATGATTTGGGGCAGAGATGAGTATGGGGAGGACAGAGGAAGTCTGAGACAGCCTTATCTGCTTCTTGTGGAAGTTTGCCCACGACAGGAAGGGAAAGCATGGGGAGAGCTGAAGCCTTGAGGTTGGAGCACATCTAAAGAATGAAAACGGATGTTTATTGACTGCCCCATCTCCCAGCAGCATTGCGTGTTCCTTACAGAAAAGGTAGAGAAGTGTCTATAACTAAGAGATTGCCTGCAATCCCAGCCATGGTGTTGGGCCGCATTCATATCCTGGGACACACGTGGCCCTGGCACGTTGGACACACCTGATACTGTTAAGCCTTGACTAATTTCTTTCCAGGCTTCTTTTTCCCTTTCCTCAATTTTTTTGTGGGTAGGAAAGGCATCACTAAGTATCTTATTTCACAGTGTTATGTTTCTCACTTGATAATTTTTTGCAAATGTTTCTAGATTCTTTTAAAACATCCCTTAAATTTTACCCATCTCCTTCGTACCTGAGATCCAGGTGGTTCCGAATACAATAGCTTCCAAAGAACATTCTGGGAAAGGCTCCCCCATGGCTCCTGCTTCTGAGTCACTAGGCTTCCTTTCCAGGCTGTAACTTTTTAAAAGAGAAAGTCTTGGTATGGAAGTAATCCAGAAGTGACTAAAAATGACCAGCCATGTTGCATATTTAAATACTCGGCCTTATTTTACTATTGAATACAGACTACCGCAATTACCCTTCTGGTCAAATCTTGGTACACACACCTTATTACCATAAAGGACATTTCTAGAAGCAGTATTTCTGGGGTAGAAGGGTGAAACACATTCCTAGAGCAGTCTTTCTGTCATCAAAAGCCTCCAAAGGTGCCCAACTCGGTGTGGCGGGCGGAAGACGCCGGCTGGTACCTCTAATCTCATCATGAGCCGTCTTTAGATGATGGAAGTGGCATCTTTGCCGGGGTGGGGGTGGGGTGGGGTGGCATGGGGGGGGTGGATAGGAGGTTGTAAGTGTTGACTCAAGGGAGCACCGCTCCCCTGGAAAAGTATAGATGAGGAGACAGCCCTGTGCTTAGAGGTGGCTGCACCACCAGGAAGCGCAAAACCAGAGGACGAGGCTGTTTTAATTTTCAGAAGCCCCTGCCCGGGGTGCAGGCGGAAGACCTGCTGCTGGCCTGAAGACTGGATTATTGTTTGGCGGCTTTTTCATCTTGAGGAGACAATGTGAGAGTTCTTTTTTTCTGGCACCGTGCAGGGGGATGGTGGGACTCTAGGTAGGTGACTCCAACTCTCATGGACTTTGTCCCCCTGCTCAGGTCTCTGGAGGAGGGAGAGAGGGAGGGAGAGAGGGAGGGAGGGAGGGAGGAAGGGAGGGGGGGAGAGAG